GTCTCATGGCATAAGAAGCAAAAATGATCGTCCTTATCTTCAGGTTGACTGTTTCAGTTTTTAAGTAACAAAGGCATGTCTCCTGGCCTAATCATGCCAGGGCTTTCATTTGTATAGGATATAGGAGAATTTGAGGAAGAAGACATTATTTTTCTTTTATTTTATTTTTATAATATGCTACATGGCACATGTACTTGCTGGAGATAGAGAGAAAAAGAGGAAAAGTGAGAAAGCACCCCCCAGGAAGGATGGCCACGCTGCAATTCCTTCTCCATTTTTCCCTCCTTTTGGGGTTTTGGGCACACACGCACACACACACATGCCCAGTGTGTTTTTCTGTTTTCTTTCTTAATAATTATTTTACTTTATTTTTAAAATTTATTTTAATTTGAGAGGGACAAAGCGAGAGAGAGAGACAGAGAGAGAGAGAGCAAGAAAGCAAGCCACCAGCTCTGGAACTTGAACTGTGGTGGGCCATGTGGGAGTCCAGGGCCCCTAACCACCACACCACCTGCATGTTTTTCAACCCGCTAGATCTGGGACTCAAACCGTATTGTTGTCCGTGTGAGATCCAGCCACCTTAACCACTGTGCTACAAGCTGACCTGGAAAAGAAGACTTTTAAGGCATAGCATTTGGACAATTTCAGCAAAACTATGAAATTTTAAATTGATGTAAAATGAAATGTTTCTAATCAATAATGTATGATTTTTCAGTAAGTGTGAAGGGCTTTGGGTACAGTTTTTAATAATTTCATGAATTGAGATTTTTCTTTTTTTCAGGTTTGGGGAGAGTTATTTCCTTGCTATGGTTCTTTCAGTATTTTCTATTTCAATTTCAAGATAACTGGTCATTCTGCCTGTTAGGTTTTTAAAGTTTTCATAAAACTTTTAAGCTTGCAAATAGGCTAAAAACAAATATCTTTCAACAGCAGTTTGTACTTTTATAACTCTTGGCTGGGTTCATTTTAAAACTCTTTTATCTTACTGTTCTGGCTTCTTTGCCAGTTTGTGAACTTTTTAAAAATTCATTCAAAATGTTTCAATGATTTGTTGTGATATGTTTCTTTTGTATTCACTAAGCTTTTTTGCACAATTTTTATCAGTCTCTGATATTATTTTGATACCATATGCTTTTGTGACAGAGTTGACGAAACAAATATTCTTAGACTTTCAATTTGGATGTTTGATTAAATTTTGAAGCCTGTGTGACATTTTCTAAGCTTTTAAAAAATTATATATTTGGGGAACCAGCAGTTAGCGTAATTGGCTATGTCGCTGGACTCCCACATAGTTGACTGCGGTTCACGTCCCGGACCCGGTGGCTTAAAACTCACACCGGGCATGTGTGCGTGCGTGCCCAAGATCCCGAGAGGAGAATGGAGGAGAAGGGATTGCGGCGTGACCATCCCCCTGGGGGGTGATTTCTCGCTTTCTGTCTCTCTGTCTCTCTCTGTCTGTCTGGCGAGCGCACGCGCCCTATAGCAAAAACCTCTCAAAAAAATAAATAAAATAAAAATAAATAAAAATAAAAAATTATATATTTGAATGTCTTTCAGAATTGGGAGAGTAATTTTTCTTTCCATTAATTTTTTATATTTTAAATATCATTTATATAAGTCAATTATTACTGCTCTGTTTGGCAGCATCACTATGAAATTTTTAGTCACAAATTAGTTTAAAATGCATGCCTCCAATTGTCCGTTGATTTTGTTTTTATTGTGGTAAACACTCTTTTTTCAGTATTTTTTCTTTTTTTATTTCTTTTTTTTTACATTTAATCCCTGTATACCTTTGCAGCATACAAAATAAATCTTCCCATCATGAAAACAATGTGTATTAGTGCAGTCAAAGATATTACCATACACATCATCAACAGATAATTTTCCTATTTTGTGTCTGTTAAATGTTTTGCTTTTTTTTTCCCCATTTGATTCCCTCCCTCACGCCTCCCACTTTCCACTCTCCTCCTATACCGTCTCTAGTATCCACAATTGCTTTTCAGGTTTTTATACTTTCTAATCTTTCAGTTTCTGCCACAGAGGACATACAATGCTTCTCTTTCATAGTCTGGCTTGCTTCACTTAGCATTAAATCTTTCATATTAATCCACTTTCTATGAAATGCCAGGGTCTCATTTTCTTTTCATTTTTAATGGCTGAGTAGTACTCCATAGTGTATATGTGCCATACGTTTTTGATCCATTCATCTGTCCATGGACATTTGGGTTGATTTGGTATCTTAGCAATTGTGAATAATGCTGCAATAAACATGGATGTGCAAGTGTTTTTCTGACTGAGTGTATTCCTATTTTGGGGGTAGATACTCAGGAGTGAAATTGCTGGATAATATGGTAGCTCTATTTGTAGGTTTTTGAGGAGCCTCCATATTGTTCTCCACAGTGGCTACACTTATTTACATGCTGACCAGCAATGTAGCAGAGTTCCCTTTCCACTGAAGCCTCACAAGCACTTATCATTCTTTAGGGGTTTTTTTTGTTTGTTTTGTTTTGTTTTGTTTTTTATCTTAGTCCTTCTGACTGGGGTTAAGTGATATCTCATTGTGGTTTTGATTTGCATCTCCCTTATGATGAAGTAATGCTGTGGACTTTTTCATATACTTTTTCACTGTTCATATGTCTTTCTTGGAGAGTTGTCTGTTCAGCTGTCCGTTCAGTTGTCTGTTTTCCCATCTTTTAATTGTATTGATTACTTATTTTCAGGTAAGCTGCTTGAGTTCCCTGAGTATTCTGGTTATCAGTCCCTTATCTGAGGCAGAGTGTGCAAATATATTCTCTCATTGTGAATGTTGTCTTGTCACTCTAATTATTGTTTCTTTTACTGTTCAGAAGCTTTTTAGTCTGGTATAGTTCCACTTTTCTGTTTGGGGGATTGTTGCATATGCTTTGGATGTCTTATTTAAGAAGTCTGCCAATTCTGATGTCTCCAAGAGTTTACCCTGTGTTTCTACAGTAGTTTTATAGTTTGAGGTCTTATGTTTAGATCTTTTATCTATTTTGAGTTGATATTTGTTAATGGTGACAGGAGTCCAGTTTCATTATTCTGCAGGTGGATACCCAGTTTTTCCAGCACCATTTTCTATAGAGGTTTACTTTTCTTCACTGGATTTTCTTGTGCCCTTTGTCAAAAATCAGTTGGCTGTATGTTTTGGGGTTTATTTCCGGGGTCTCTATTCTGTTCCATTGGTCTACATGTCTGTTTTTGTGCCAGTACCATGCTGTTTTGATGATCACAGCTTCATAATATATTTTGAGGTCAGGGAGTGAGATGCCTCCTGCGTTATTCTTTTTGAGCAGTATTGCTTTAGCAATATGAAGCTTTTTATGATTCAGACAAATTTTATAACTTTTTTTCTAAATCTGTGAATAATATCTCTGGTAATTTGATCAGAATTGCTTAAATTTCTAAATTAATTTGGATAGAATAGACATTTTTATTATATTAATTCTTCCAATTCAGGAAGATGGGATTTTTCCACTATTTTGTATTATTTTCTATTTCTTTTTAAAGTTTTTCATAGTTTTCTTTGTAGAGATTTTTTACTTCTTTGGTTAGGATTATTCCTAGGATCTTGTACTTTTTTTGTAGCTATTGTAAATGGGATTGTTTTCTTTAATTCTACTTCAGCCCATTCATTGTTGTTGTATAGAAATGCTATAAATTTTTGTATGTTGATTTTGTATACTACCACTTCACTTCCAGAACTTTGTTTGTTTGTTGTGGATTCTTCTGGGCTTTCTATGTATATAATCATGTTCCCTGCAAATAGAAATCACTTCATTTCTTCTTTTCCTATTTGTATGCCTATTATTTTATTTTCTTATCTGAATGCATTGGCTAAGAATTTCAGTACTGTATTGAAAAAGAGTAGGGAGAGTGGTCAGCCTTGTCTTGTTCAAGTTTTTAGTGAAAAAGCTTTCAACTTTTCCCCATTCAATATGATATTAGCAATAGGTTTTTCATTTATGGCTTTCATTGTGTTGAGAAATATCCCTTCTATGCCAACTTTGCTGAATCTTAATCATTAAAGTATGGTGTATTTTATAAAATATTTTTTCTGCATTAATCAATATGATCATATGATTTTTATCATTCTTTCTGTTAATATGATTAATGGGTTTGTGTACATTGAACCACCTTTGCAACTCTGGAATAGAGCTTACCTGGTCGTGGTGTATAATATTTTTAATGTGTTATTGGATACAATTTGCTAGTATATTGGTGAGAACTTTTGCATCTGTAGATATATTCATCAGAGATATTGGTCTGTAGTTTTCTTTTTCTATTACATCCTTGTATGTTTTGGAGATAGGGTGGTAAAGACTTTGTAAAATGTATTTGGGAAGGTTCCTTACTTTTGGATCTATATAAATAGTTTGCCTTGAATGGAGATTAACTTTTCTTTAAAAGTTTTGTAGAATTCATGGGGCCAGCAGATAGCATAATAGTTACATTGCTGGACTCCCACATAGTCTACTGTGGTTTGAGTCCCAGACCTGGTGGCTTAAAACTTATGCCAAGAGTGTGTGCCTGCATGCCTAAAATCCCAAGAAGAGACGGAGAAGAAAGGATTGTGGCATGACCATCCTCCCCGGGGGTAGGGTGGGGTGGATTTCTCACTTTCTGTCTCTCTGTCTCTCCAGAGAGCGCACACACCCTATAGCAAAAGTCTCTCTCTCTTTTTTTTTCTTTTTTTTGGAGAGATTTTTTTTGCTATAGGGTGTGTGCGCTCTCCAGAGAGACAGAGAGACAGAAAGCGAGAAATCACCTCCCAGGGGAGATGGC